CTTCTCTTCAGTTTGTTCAGGGATACTGACAGTGAAGAACAGCTGTACTAGGAAGTGAAGCAAACAGCTTGTAGGTACTCTGCAGGAAACTGTCTCACTTCCCAAAATAATAGTTCAAAAGGTAATTATGAAACTTAACTTACTTTCCCGTCCCACCTTTCTCATGGAATTTTACTATACATAGTACTGAACTTAGTTCTAAAGTCCTTATTTATTACAGGACGACGCTACAAGATAATTTGAAGTACTAGTAATAGTAACTTGATAAGTTCTGCGTTAACTTCAGTAAGGAATTCTGATATGTTGTATTATGCTCCACGTAAATTAAAAGTATTTGAAATCAATTACAGGTGTTACAACATTTCTCTGACATTCGTGTTTGTAACAGCCAGAAGAATATTATACAGCTTTACTGTTTTACAACCGACTAGGGATATAAATACTAACTACTCGACATAAAATATCATGAGAACACGCGAATCGTGCTCTCACGTTTGAAATAAGCGGTTATAATTACTTCACGGCCATAAAAAAATATCAAAAACGATAAGCATCATAAAATGCAATGCGCATTTACTATTTAGTATGAGTGGTCGGTAAGTCTGGCAGAGAGGATATCCGCTAGAAGTACCGCTCGACTGCTCCTACTTAACTCAGACAGAATATTGTTTGACGCCGATTTCGGTTCTGATTTAAAAACTTGTAGACTATAATTATAAAAGTACGTCAATTTTTAATTACATTTTAATTAATTTGCTGTAGAGTAACCGGATCTGGATGGAATTTGGTACAGAGTGATCTGGAATAGCACATAGGTCATTTTCCCGGGTGAATCATTAATTAAATCGATGTTAACGGCACAAGCTTGTTATCTTCATTATCTAATCTTATTCGATATTTTTTATATAAACGGTATTTAACTTATTTAAAACATCTCAAGCCTCTGAATAATGATGGTGTCTAATGTACGTATTGGAACGAAGTTCCTTATCGCACGTTGTGAAAGGGGGCTAGACGGAAAAAAATCTTACGAAAATTGGTCACGACACTTTTTGCTATAGTAAGCTATTGTAAGCTGTGCGGCGTCGCATGTTTCTCTGTCTGTCTCTCTCTCTCTCTTATAGAAAGCAAGCCAGATATCTTCATTTCTATCTTTTTATGTCAGTCATTCAGCGCCATCTATCGAATAGATAGGTGATCATTTCTCAAAGAGATTTTACCAATGTATAAATTGTTTTAATTAGAAACTAACTGAAAACTATGTAGGTAATAGCAGCTTTCATAGATGGCGTTGTAATTAAAATGTGCCGAATCAGTTTTACTCGATCGTTACAACTTCGTTCCTATCGGGTGTCCCACGACACCACACGGCTTTTTTTAATAAAAACAAGACCTACCTCTTTGTCTAGATTACCCGGGGATCGTAGAATGGAGAAATTTGAGCCTGAAATAAGTTTGATTGAATACAGAAAATAATAATACTGTGATTAGTCTTCTATGGCATTTTCGTCGTCACTGAAAACTTTTGAAATGATAGCTTTAAATATATAATTTTCGATTTTAGATCAAGTCAAGTAATGACACTCATTGCGAAAATTGGCAGCACTACTCGTTAGCGCCAAACTCTCTTAAACTAAGTGTCATTTTACCCCTTCCTGCCTCTTGTATTGCGGAACAGAAGGATCATCTTTATGAGTAATTTTAGCATTTCTGTATCTATGAGTAATGTGTAATTAAACTAATTGTGTAAATAAATCAATTATATTTGTGGTTACGTCTAAGTTCATTCAGGTAAGGAATGAGTAGAACTTAAGATAAAAGGATTCAAATAGCTGTAATGAATCATACTATTGTGAACATCGTTGTTATTGTAGAACTCTGGTGATGATGATATGAAAATCGATTTTTACAATCTACAAACTGTACAGGAATGCAACATATATCGAGAGAAAAGTGAGAAAAGCTACATAGTATTAAAATCGGTGGGAAGTATGTGGAAGCCTAGTTTGTGGAATTGTTTTGTTCCTCCTATTTACAAACAGTCTAGTACTTAGGTAAAGACGATCACGGAACCAAACGATTAAGTATGACACTAAATGTAGGTGTCCAAAAAGACTTTTAGTCCATTCCTTTTATAAATTTATTTTATTGATACATCATGCACATTTGATGCATTGGCGGACTTAATGCCTAAGGCATTCTCTACCAGTCAAACATTGGGTGATCCAAAGAAAACAGGCAGTAGGTGCTTTTTAGTCACAACACAGTACTTTTCTTGTTGATGATGGTCACTTTCATATTGCACATACAGGAGTACATAACTTGTAAAATTTGAATTAATTAGAAATATGGAACACTGTTTCTGTGGTGTTTCCAGTTGATAAAAAAATTAGAAGCAACATATTATCAAGCCAGGAACATATCATACGGAGGGATAAGTGAAATGACGAATTAACAAAAGAATGAAATGAATGAACTGCCAAATGTCAGTACAGTCTGAACGCGCTTTTCAGACTACAAAATAGTTTGGTGTTTGAAAAAGTTTGAAGTTATGGCAAATATTAATTGCATTCATTCAAGCATAATGAATTTACATACTTAACCAATGTGACATAAAAACCTCTAGAAACCTTTTAGGCGAGACTAGTTGTAACCAAATATACAGTTATTTGGGTCACGACTAGATATAATTGTTAAAGTTATGCGACAGGGCTTCGGTGACCGGACGTTGTTGTTTGCCGTCCTAAGCCCACGCCATGTGGGAGTTGCGCTGGCCAATGTTTATGTATGTGCAGTCATCTACGACTACCAGTTTTATGATGAGGATATACAAGCTTTACTACACGATTGGGTTTCGTTCGATTTTCAGGTTTAAACTTTTTTCTTTTCATTGCCACATGAACCGTTCTGTAATTATTTAACAATTTTGAGTTAGGAAGACGACTTATAAATGCTGAAAAATCTTTTACGTCCTATGAAGAATTCACTACATCATCATCCACTGGAATTCATCACATACTGTATTGTATTAGATGATAGCGAGACAAGCGAACCCAGTTTCTTGCGAGTACAAAAAATAGTTGTAGTTTTATATAAAAACTTATTTCAAGTCCATATCTACCAGATTTAATAAATTCAAGTATTTTTAGTAGCCATTGTCATTTTTATATTCTGCAATTATTAGGGTTTTTTTTAGGTCAATGGCTTTTGCTCACACAATTTTTCCACCTGAACTAATTCAACACATATTGAACAACACGTATTGCATTTAAATATCTTGCGAGATGACTACATTCCTTAGGCTACGTCGTATCGTAGGACACAATCATTTTATAATTATGGTTTTGCTATAAATGATATAGATCAGAAGCTATGTTGTTAGTCATACATTACACAACCCACTCATTCTAAAATATAAAAATTGGTAGATATTTTTCAATGTTTTTTTTTGTCTTTAGAAATACAAGTACAAAAATCCATATTTCAATACCAATTTTAATACACATTTAAAAAGCCAAGATTTTTTTAGTGTTGTGTATACAGCTTTCTTCTGACAAACTTGTAAATGTTAGTTAATAGAGTGGATCTTCGATATAAGGTACTGTGTATTGTATAATGTCACGTATACGTCAGTTATAATTGACTGGTCGATTGATGTAGATACTCATAAAAAACACCAGTTTCAATCATTTCGAGAATCGAAAAACTGCGTTGTTTTGAATTGCAGCGTGTGCATCCAAACTCTTATTTTAAGAGTACTCTTATATATACACGTCTCATTACAAAACCCAACGGGCACAAGATGATATAGTGCATGGATATACTAGCCCTTCTTTGGATTTAAGTGGTTATAAAGACACGCCTAATTATATTGAGCTTCTAATAAGCACAAGTGGTTCTATATTTAGCAATGCGTAATGTACCGTCTCTAGTTTATTAACTTTAACTACAGTAATAATGAATGTAAATGTGCCTATCAAGCAACAGACCTCTTTTCCTATGGCTCTGCAATTAAAGCTTATTGAACACGAATTGTTTCGATATTACATTCGACTACATTATTGGTTCATTTAAACGTTTAGCACTCGTGGAGCAAATTTTAATTAAATATCACGCCCGTTTCTACTTTAAGAATGAAATAATACACATTTGCTGCTTGAATAGCATTGGTCAGTATGCCAACTGCTGTACAGGAACGTTGGTGAATATTAATATCGTTATTGACATTTATTCATGATACAGTTACTTCAATCCCTGGCTTTGTTATTCAAACTAGTGACAAATGTGCAACACATACATGTTTATATAGTATATGTATATAGTATATTCAATTTATTATTTAATTTTAAACATCTATATTATTATGGATAGGCAAGCAAACACAAGCGCGATTTTTCAACTAAGCCTTTAAACACTCTCTACCTGACTCGTAGTATTACTTACGTTTTGTTTATTACTCCTATTGCATCCTTACTCAACTGATTGATATAAAATAATTGCATTTTTCCGAATGTCTATCATTCGGCAAAAATGCAATTATTCTTCAGTCGAATAACTCTAATGGTAACATTAATTTAACTCAATCCTTGGTGATGACCAAAATAAAGTGGAGCAAGAAATAACGCATCCCAAGATAATAAGATACTATCTGTTTATATTTACTACATATACATATGTATACACTGCAGCTTGCTAACAGTAACATATTGCATCAAATTAGGTATAAAAAAGACTTAGCGACTAACAATACTAAATCGACCCTGCTGTTGGATTACATACATACCCATTTTATTTTTATTGCATTACAAATTCCAATTGTAGCATCCTGCACGACAAAGAATTGCAGCCAAAACAAACACCTTTCACCGGTACATATCCTAACCTTCTTATTATAAAGTAATGTTACCAAGTCATTATTTAAAACAAAAAATTGTTTAGTAAAGGTTATACGAATCCTTTTTAACTAATTTGCGTGATTTTTCAGCAATCGTTAAAAGAATATGGGCGCTCCCGCATGGGGATCCCGTGGTGGCGGAGGCGATCGACCGCGACTACTGCGCATGACGCCACTGCGTCACAGCTTTGCTGCGCCCGCATCACCGCCCGCGCCACCCCCAGTAAGAACTCATGACTATGCATCCGACGCAGATACTACCAAAAAAGGTAACTTTCTCATTTTCCATATCATTATAAAAAGTCATGTTAAACCGTATTTTAACTGATTTCATGAGAATTTCAGCCACTTCCAATTTTTTGACGAACACTTTTAAAATTTTCAGAGGATGGATGGAACGCAAATCTATCGCAAAGATGGCGAAAACTACGTCGTCGATGCTCCCGTCTACGACCGGGGTCGGGCAATCGAGAGGCAAGTCCTGTCCGATGTTCGCCATCACCTCCTAGACCACCATCTCACTGCTCTCCTGCACCACCTTCTAAATTGTCCTTCAGACACCGGGGAAAAGTTTACACTACAGCATCTTTACGTGTAACCAGTGGAGCTCCAGATATTTTGCGAGCTTTGGGAAAACTTGGTGGAGGATTGCGACGGAGAGCATTATCCGCACATGACGTGCTAGCGCCACCACAGCAGCAACCATCTACTTTTTATGTTCCTAGTCCTACAGCCACACGGCATCCGCCGTCACCGTCTCCACCAAGACAATCAACTACAATACGGAGGCGATGTAGTTCCCCAAACGTTTACAGAGCCAAGGATTCTGGTGGCGTAAAAGATCGTGCACCTCTAATCACTCAGGAAGATGAAAGCCGCGATGTAGTCGACTTCTCTTATATTCCAGAAAGAAGAAAGAATAATTCGGAAGGAAGAAGTAGGCGTCCATACAGTGAGAACGTGGAATTAGATGTTCCATACAGAAATGGATACAATCGCCTATCGCCCTGTGAGGTTTCGCAGAGGTTATGGGAGGAACCGTACCGATTACCAAGAGTACAGTCACGACAAGAATCAATGCAGCACTTACGGAATGGAGTGGCAGAGTTACGTGTGAGTGCAACACCGAGGTCTGCCCGCCCACCTCCTGCGCCACCGATATCAGTACAAGTCGGAAAACGACCACCAGCACCCGAACCCAGAGACACACACTCATTTGAGGTAACTCTTTGAATAACACACAATATAATTCTCATTAGTTAAATCAGTTTTACAGGATGTTCAATTATCTAATGGTCCCATAGATTACCGCGAATAATTAATCACATAAATTGGTGATGACACCTGTTAGTCCTAACTGTCATAAAAAATGTTTAATAGGCCATCCACCTGTATCCCGTAATCGTTGTAATATTTTTCCACCAGGGTAATCACTTATGTAACTCGCGTCATCCACAATGACAAGTCTTTTAAAAAATTCTCAAATAATAATATTAATGGTTATTTTTAAACTTTCAGGTGCGATTTACGAAGTCAGCAGGTGGAAAAGGTCTCGGTTTTAGCATTGTGGGTGGTCGGGATTCACCGCGGGGCGACATGGGCATTTTTGTTAAAACCATTTTCAATAATGGCCAGGCAGCTGAGTCTGCACTTAGAGAAGGTATTTGTTTAATGAATATTTTTCTTATTCCATTAGTATGGCTACACTTCTTGGTAGAAAGGTGCATATAATTCCTGTGCAATCGTTATATGACATCTGCTCGTTACGACCAAATGCCACTACTCCACCTGTCGTAGGCTCACCATAAATAGCAATTAAAGGGTTTTATAAATTAAAACAAACATACCTTCATTAACACTTGCCCATGGCAATTAGATAGCCCTTGTATAATGCCAAGGTACTACATAAAACAAATTTACACAGCAAGTGTTAAGTGTTCGATTTCCTGATTATTATGAACTATCTAAAAGGTTGTAAGGTTTTCTGTTTAGTAGAATCCATTCATTAATAAAAATGGTAGTCTAACATGGACTCAGATATTATGAAAGAGCGTTCAGTAGCCGTTTCTGTCTCGAATTACTGCAGTCTTTAACTTACTCGTATATATTACGCATTCGTGACTACTGTTTATGTCTGAGTGCGTACATAATAGAATAGTTGGAAAACAATTTTGTTTTTATGATGTGATTCTAAATTCATGAGTAATATAAAAATGTGTAATGCACGCCTGTATTTCTTTCTACCTACTGTGACATAGATTCAAGATAACTTAATAAAACTTATAATATTCTTCTCTGGAGAAGGTTTTTTTTAGTACGAGTACTTATACTAATTAGTTTATTAGTAGATTCCACTCTATGATGTAGTCCCTTTTTAAATAGGTTATGATTTGAGAGTGAAGACCGTAGACCAACAATACGAGGGGTGATCAATAAGTAATGATAATCAATATGAAACAGAACTATTAGATTAAAAAAAGTATTTTATTTTTCAACATAGTCTCCTTGCAAGTTAATACATTTAGTGTATCTTTTTTCTAAGCCCATGATTCCCTTAGAAAAAAATTCTTTGTCTTGACCCTCCCAAAATGCCTCTACTGCGGCCATCACTTCACTATTGTCCTCAAATTTGTTGCCCCGGAGGTGTTCTTTGAGCCGAGGAAAGAGGTAGAAGTCACTGGGAGCTAGATCTGGCGAATAGGGAGGGTTTTCGAGCAGTTCGAACCCCGTTTCTTCAATGGCAGCCATCGCAACTGCGGCTTTGTGAGCCGGGGCGTTGTCTTGGTGAAACAGCACTCCAGCGCGCAGTTTACCACGTCTTTTTGACTTAATAGCTTCTCGCAATCTTCTTATTTGGCCTGCGTAGTAAGAGCCTGTTATAGTGGCCCCCTTTTCCAAATATTCCACCATAATAATTCCTTCTGCATCCCAGAAAACAGACGCCATAACCTTTCCCGCTGGACTTGACACTTTGAATTTCTTCGGCGTTGGTGAGGAAGCTCGTTTCCAAGTCATTGATTGTTGTTTGGTTTCGGGAACAAAGTGGTGGATCCAGGTCTCGTCCATGGTCACAAAACGCGACAAAAATAAATTCTTAATCGGCCTGGAACTTTTGAAGATTCACCCTCGAAGTGTCGACTCGTTTCTTTTTTTGCTCGTCGGTTAACATTCTCGGTACCCAACGCGCAGAGACCTTTTTCATATGCATTTTGTTGACAATGATTTTTTGAACGCTGCCATAGGAGATCCCTGTGACCTCAGCTACATGCCTTACGGTCACCCTTCGATCGGCCAACACGATATCTTCCACTTTTTTGACGTTTTCTCCAGTAAGGGACGTGGAAGGGCGTCCCTCGCGATGTTCATCTTCAGTGGAGGTTCTGCCCAGCTTAAATTCCTTTGCCCAGCGTGCGACCGTGGAATATGGAGGAGCAGACTCCCCCAATGTTTCCTCTAAGTCGCTGTGTATGTCTTTGGTAGACATTTTTTTCAGGCAGAGGTACTTGATGACAGCTCTTATTTCATTTTTCTCCATTCTCCCGGTAATGGTGTCCTATTTATACATTTTTTTGAAGCTGAAGTAGTGGATATATAAGCAAGCAGAAAAATAATAATTTGGGTTTTTGTGCGTTCTAGAAATACTCGATTATCATTACTTATTGATCACCCCTCGTATAGCCAATGCATAGTAAAGAAACTATTATTCAATGTATATTGGCTAGTGGTTATTGTCTTTTTATAAAAAATAAACTACACGTAGATTTGATGACGTGTTTGGAAATTAAAAAAGAAGCCAATATCGGATAATAGTAAATAATGTGATATATAATATTAAATACTGGTAGTACCTAATGAATAGCTCGTAACCGACTTACATCCGTATATAGTAGATGGTGTACGGGTCTATAAATACAGTTCTGGGCCGAAACGGCTTCAACAATAGTCGTGTTAAGTGTATTCGGAGTTGATTTACAGATTATGTTGCTTCGCAACTCACTTTAAATAATTAATGAAGAATAATGTATCTAAATTCTTACTTATCATTTTCAGGTGATGAGATCGTCTCGGTAAACGGTCGCGGTACAGCAGGCCTGACACACGGCGAGGCTATCCGGCTGTTCAAGGATGTGCGCGCTGGGCCGGTCCTGCTTCGAGTCACACGGCGCATACAGCCTCGCTGACTGCCCTGCGCCTGCTGCGTCGACACACGTGACCAGCAGGCGCCTAGGAACTACGTGCCTGATATCTACTCCACTATGTAGTTGGGGCTGATTCATACATTCAAACTATTTTGTACACATAAGGCCCAGTACGCATACTCCATTTAAAAAAATATTGAGTTATAGTAGTACTAATTATTCTATAACAGAAAGTGATATTTGTCGCAGGATGCATCGCAGGTAGCTACATAAAAAATTGAAAAATTGGCGTTGCTCAATCTGTCTAAAGAGAATAAAGAATTAAACTAAGCAAAGTTGGCAAATGAAGTAAACTACAAATCTTATAGATACATTATTGAATTGCAATTAATTATGAAAGAAACCTTGTATTGTGCAATATATACCCATATCGAACACGGTTACAATTGAAGATAATGTAAGGTAAGTTCGATGTTTTGTTAGTTAATGAAACAAAGCTAAACATTGTCTTTTTTTTTAAATTTGAAAAGCCCTGGAGTCCTGGTTTACAATATAAGTATATTGAGTATACCACATTCATAAGTATTTTTCTAAATTTTTTGATAACATTTACTACACATCTAATCAAGCAACAAATTCGTTGGAATCTTAAAGAAGTAGGTATAATTATGCAATCTAGAAGGTATTTTTGGAAAATATACATCGTATTAAATATTTACTAAACATTTACGTCGGTATATAAGACATCGAAATGGTACTTATCTTTTGAAATATTGGCAATAATTTTAACACTATTAAACGTAACAGTATTACAATGTTATAATTGTACGCCTTTATATGATATATATATATATATAGATTATAATGTATCGCAACTCCTTTGAAACGTCACAACTCAAAAACCCAATTTTAGAGAAGAAGACGTTAAATGTAAGAACAAATTAGAAGCTTGATGCATCATGATCATCATCAGCCTATCACCATCCGCTGCTAAACGAAGGCCTCCCCCACGGGACGCCAACTATCCCGGTTTTGGGCTTGGAGCTACAAAATTACCCAAACAAGCTCTTACTGCCTGAAAACCGTTTTGAAATTTCTGAAAACTAAGGCCCGAAAATTAAAACAAAAAAGTGGAAGAAACTTTTAGCGCCAATTTTTTTTTGTTGTGACGGTAATGGAGCAGAGATGTTATATGTATATGAATTAACTTTACTAATGAAGGCAAACGAATGGTATTAGATACACAGTTTGATACAATTTGATAAAAATTGTCTGTGATATGATATTCAAAGCTGTCGAAAGAGTCGACGATGTAGTTTTGTAATTTCTAATTATAAGGCGACTAACTTATTTTTATAATATGAAATCTATTTTACATAAAAGTATATGTAGACTTAGTCAAGTATTTATTGTAAAGATTATACTTAGGTACATATAAATATGTTTTTATTTAGATCAGTAGAATATAATAAACAAATTATATAAATTTGTACGTCATGTTCTAATATAGGGCACAAAAATATATGTCAGCAAGGCCTTTAAACCAGTTACTTTCTGATTTATTAAGAGTTTTGTTCTATATTGATATCGATGGTCTAAGTACAATATCATGAGGTTTTAACATTTTAACGCCACATGTTTTAATTCAGAACATTTTATATGCGCTGCCTCAGAATCAGTGATTGGTTCTGTCATCGTTTTAAACACAAAACAAGGACAGACTAAAGTTAGAACTACTTTTCTATAAAATTTTAATAGTTTAACACCAATCTCATCTCTTAGTCACGCCCAGAAAACTTACTATCTTTGCCATTGATGTATTCGCTAATCGTTTCAGTTGTCATTGACCGGACGATTACTTTGTGAGGATTTGAAACATGCTTAGGGTTGGTGTTCCCTGGGGTCGTCGACTCGTCTGTAGATGACCCGAGGTATGTCGGGGCACCAGGGGACTTCCTTTCTAGGGTATACCTGGTTCCCCGGCTATTAGTACCCGGCGACGGCGTGCGGTTTTTAGTCGGTTCGAGTCCGACATGCCACTGACAGGTGGTATCCGAGGGGATTTCCGCACGAAAAAAAAAAAAAAAAAAAGGGTTGGTGTTCCCTTAATACACTTTACAATATAATATACGACATATTTTTGGATAATTCAGTAAAAAGTTTTATGTATGAAAGCCGGAGAAAATAAAATAAAATCCAATTATTGTTATTGTAAAAAGTTTTAAACATAAAGCAGTATCAACCATAATTTTAAACGAGGTCAAGTTAATAATTGTATATTTTTAATGGTACAATATAATATAATTTTAGGATTTTGCTTATCTACGACTGTGTTGACTATGCAATAAATTTAAGTCCTCCTATAATTGAAAGAGATTTAATTATTTACTGAAAAAACGTATTTAACGTTGTTGTTTGTACTACATTGGATAACTACAGAGTTAAATATACAATGCCCTTGAAGAACTAAAAGAAACAGAATTTAATTTCATTGATTCATGTCATCCAATCATAATAATATATTCAATTATATTCTTAAATCTCAAGTCTTAAAATTCTTTGATAATCTTTAATTTGTGTAAAATCTTAATCTTGAAGAGTTAAAGAGACATAGCGAGAGAGAGAGTTCTTTACATTCTGATAAAATTGTAAATAAACCGTCTAAAATGTCTATTGCTTGACCAATGTAACATGAGATGTGTGAAGAACAATAACAATAAGAAAATGTATGAACGTGGCAAAATATTTTTGCATTTTTATTATAAGCATTTTACTGTAGATCATTAACGCAAGAATACAAATATTTAAAACAAAACTGTATGTTTTTAATCATGACGAAAAGAATACCCTTTCCTATTTTATCTTTTTCTTATTCATTTATATTATCATAACAGATTACTTAATAAGACACTGGTGATCTATTTTTAGTAGGATGAGAAAAGTGTATTAATGTTTTCCACCATACGGACAATAAGGACTTCCTAGAGCCAACAAATGCTGATGGGCGCTGATTGTTGCTGCTATTTGCTAGTTGATGTTAATGTGTTGGAAGTTTATTCAGCTTAGGTGACCCACCAACTTCCTCTCCCTTCAACAGTGGTCCACGTCTATATCAGGTGCATATTATACTCCATTGCCGGTAGCGAGAGCGACATTCGGTGCGATGGAAATCCTTTCGAAAGTCCCTGCACTATCCACGTACCGATTGACGGAGACTGCCTTCTTTACCATCATAATGACTCAACAGAAAGTAATTTCTAGGTAATGAAAAATGATGTGATGTTAGATTATGTGACACTACCTCAGATTTTGTCAATTAATCTTTCTCATTGTCCAAACTATAGTTAAATTTTATACCTAAAAATCATTATTATCTAGCTGATTCCTTATGACTTATAAAAGGATTTATTCTCTACAATTAGGTATTTTGTTATTTATCGAAATTAGATGCATTTCTTTTCTCAACTGGCTACTTTAATGTAATCAATCTCAATAGAGTGTACCTGGTATATAATATTTCGGACGTTTAACAACAGCGCCATCTAGTTTCAAACGAGCACAATTTGTACTATGATAGTTAGATTGACTGATGGAATATTTTTTTGTAAATACATGCATATTATACATAGAAAACGCTTGATCCGACCTGGGAATCAAACCCGATGCCTCAGCACAGCAGTCGCATACGCTACCACTGCATCACTGAGGCAGTCAAGGAATGACGTGAGTCGAGGAATGACAGTGACTTGTACGTCAACATAAAGTAGCAGAATTGAAACATTGAATTGTAAATTAATTTAATACTTAAATATCGTGGAATGGAGAAAATCAAAAGTTAGGCAACCTTTTTTTAGGAGCAAATTGATGGACCAATACTTTACTAATACAACAGGCATCAGTTTTGTAGTTAAAATTGTAGTTTCTGTATATAGTAGACTAAACGTACACACGTCACAAGAAAAAAATCTAGGACGGTATCTGCATCAAGTGTTGAATTTGGTGGTCTTGCACAGTTAAAACATTCTTGAAAATGACCATTTGATCCTATAATTTAAAAATAATTTCAGTACATTTCATTAAACATAAGTTTGTATAAAAAGAAGTGATCTAGTAATAATACACTAGCTCACTTCTTTGGAATGAAGTTCTCATTTTGTACGTACAAACCTCATTACTCCTTAAATACCGTCAGCAAGACATAAACCACTCGACAGCTAACTACTGAGTGTGGATGTTATTCTAAGGGGTATTTACTAATACTAAGTGTTAAGTCAGTCATTTATTAGTTGACTTCAAAAAAAGGAGGAGGTTTTCAACTGCAGGGCTAGCGTAGTGGTTTAAGCGGTCACCTCGCCGCTTCCTAATGGGCTGAGTGATGTGGGTTCGATCCCCACATGGGACAACACTTTGTATGATCCACAAATTATTGTTCTGAGTCAAACGATTCCGCCCGGGTTTCTTAATAGAATCTGTTCCCGAATCCCTTCTATTTGAGGCCCAGTATGGCATTTTGTGTGATTTTAGTCGTTTCGACACCGAAAACCCCGATGGGGTAACGGTGGGTATGTGTGGAAGCCCCGAAGAAATACAAAAAAAAAGTTTATTACTTTACACTGAGCATTTGTAAAAGTTAGATCACCTTTGCCGGTTAATTATCTGGCCAATAGAATGCCGTCTATTGCCCACCGTACTCTTTTATCAAACAATCCAGCTTCTCACATTAGTGACATTCGTTCGATGATCTTCGGAATATCCTACATAAGTTGTTTTTAACTGATAGTAGAAAATTATCTAAATCTAAACGAATAGAAAACGCAAGATGTAGCTGTCTGCATAGAGGCACGGATGAGCGTTGCAAAACCCGAAAAAATTGTTGTTAAAACAAATTATAATCATGTAGGATAATACATGACTTCAAAAAGTTAGTGCAACCTGTCTAAAGTGAGGTTTGTAGTTTAACATGGAAACCGGCTGATTGCATCAATGCAATCTAAAACGGAGGTGAAGCTGTGTACGATCATTTTCCATCTCAAAAACTAATGTAGCGTAACGTCTAATTTTTTTATCGTACGATAAAAAATCATCAAATCATCAAATCATCACCTCAGCGGGACTCATACTGATATGATTTGTCAGAATCGAACCGACTAAAACCACACGGTCTTCCGTCCCATGCGAGTTTATTGAAAGGGACTCGGGCATACCGTGGGAAGGAAGTCCCCATGAAACAATACGTCTAATGGATAGTTTCTACACACTAAAAGCATCGGTAATATGAACGTAACGTTTGAGTTATATTAATCGCATTGAAAGGTACAAAGTAGATCTTTAACCTCGATGATCAAGGTGTAAATTTTTACTCTACTTTTATACTTATTTACAATGCTGAAAGAAGGCACGGCACTATGGACACTAACTTGTTTGATTCCAATAAAAACAAGCCTATTACTTAAAATGTAATGACATTTATGTAATGTATGTATGTACGTAATGTAATGTATGATTGATAATAATCGTAATGTATGTAATGTGATTAATGTAATAATATTCTCACACATTTCACACGGCCGTCTGATCCCAAACTAGGCAGAGCCTGTACTATGGAAACCAGGCTGCTGATAAACATACTTATATATTTCTAAATACATACATACATATATATTATCTTACATACTATTAACTAACTATGTATTATATTAACTATATTGAATGTTTAAATTTCTAATCGAGAAGTGATGCTAAGTGATTTCTTAGGTATGGTAATAAGGTTCCGAAAGAAAACAGCGATATTTCTTTTCCTGATTATATGTATATTATATAGTAACATAAAATGTTAATAGTAACTAAAATAACATAGTGGACCTCCTAAACTTAAATATCGGGTATGTTTATATTGGGTAAAACAAGCCGCTTGCAATACATGTCATTTTTTTTACGAACTACACAGTTTCTCATTAAGTATATCTTCGCTGTACTGACCTACAATGTCATTTGTCAACGTATTTAATCATATCAAATCAATCAAAAGTAATTTACTGCATCTCTGTGTAATTGTATAAATTTGTACATTTTCTTTTTTTATATTTTTAAAATTCAATGAAAAATGATGGAACTGGAAATATAAACATATATGAAAATATTAATAAATAATAAATGTATTTACACATTCCAATAAAAAGTATACTGAATTAAAACTAAGTAATGGTATTATAGGCACTGCTTTCGGCAAATACCTACATAAATATAATGGCAAGTTAATGGTCTGAAATATCAGCATATAGGATAAAGAACTTTAAAAAAATATAATGTGAGGTTTTGACTTAAAAATACTAACTAGATGTGTCAAATAAATGATGTGTTTCCTTAAGCATGTAATTTGAAAAAGCTAAATTATAGCAAAAAAAGTAACTCCTTCAGACCACACGTAAAATTATTGTACTTCACGTACGTACTTATTTTGAATGCTAACTTTTATTTAAGATGCTTCGTAAGCTTACAATACGAGTATATAACCGACTCAACTTATGTATATAAATCACCGTGTGCGCGTAATGATTCTTCAAACTTAAAATGGCACTAATCAATTTCCATGTTCATTTACAGCGCATACTGATATACAATAAGATTTTTTCCTTGACATTTTCAAGTCCAGACTAGTTAATTAAACCGAATTAATCAATAAATTAACGATTTTAACAATGTAACACAGTCTTACAAATCCTATCCTTACGACAATCCGTTACAGACAGATAACATAAATTACCTATTTACAAACTTATAGTAAGAGTGACTAATGAATGAGGCAAATTGTAAATAAAAGAAGAACAAATAGCATTAGCATTAGCATTTTAGAAACCTTATACTTTCAACGGCTATTCCTCAGTATGATGGTACGGGTAATTTCTTTTATTCGACGAATACTCTTATATAAATAATTTGGGAAAATGCTAACTGGGCTTTAAGACACATTTAGTTAGTAACTCAGAAGATTGGTTTAAATTTTTTCATATATATGTTTTGTAGGTTCTCCTCGTTTATAATCACAATCACATATTCAAATTGCCTTTAGGATTTTTAAGTACAAGGGTAACAGGGCCAGCAGGTAAAGCCTTTAGAGCCGCCCAGGCTTGTGTACGTGTAAAACCTTCCATCGATTGCCCTCCAGCAGACAGAAGTTCTGCACCGACTAGAACACGACCATTTTGTGCTGCTGCACCGCCTGAAATAACCAAAATATTTTTTTATATTGTTATAAGAATCAAAGCCTTCTACAGAAGTTTAAAAGTGGGATTAAACTGAGGTATTCGTCAAACAAATACACTTTTATGATGTAACATTACATCTGTATAAAATTTATTTTGGCTATTTATTTTATTTGTTCATCAATTACAAGAGATGGAATAATGGTGGTACCTATCTAGCGCGAAACTACCGAGATATATAAATTAAAATAGAGTTTGATCTCTACTCATATAATACGCAACGAAAGAGCACCCTGAATTCTGAAGTAAACCACTAATGTACAATACTAATAGTATAACTAACACAATCTTACCTGCAAAAAGTTTTTTAATGGTGAGGGGTTGATCACCGCGGGGTGAGTCTCGACCTCCGTCTAAGCCAAAGCCGAGACCTGCTCCACCCCCTGCCTTCTCGAGTAATACTGTCACTACAGAGCCTAGACCTCTATTATCGTTTCGCAATTCATTTTCGCCAGCCTCGTGTCGGACCTTCGACTCCGCTGCAAAAAGGTAACACAAATATATGTTAGTAATATAAACACATGTTAGTATTTTTTGTCATCATCATCATCATCATCAGCCTATCGCAGTCCACTGCTGGACATAGGCCTCTCCCATTGCACGCCACTTAGATCGATTTTGGGCTTCTCGCATCCAGCTCCTGCCAGCCATCTTGCGCAAATCGTCACTCCACCTGGCCTGTGGGCGTCCTACACTACGTTTGCCGAGACGCGGTCTCCACTCAAGAACTCGTTTTCCCCAACGGTTATCGGTTCTGCGGCTAATATGGCCAGCCCACTGCCACTTCAACTTGCTGATCCGGTACGCTATGTCGGTGACCTTAGTTCTCTGCCGGATCACCTCATTTCTGATGCGATCCCTTAGAGAAACGCCGAGCATAGCCCTTTCCATAGCACGTTGAGCGACTTTGAACTTGTGGACCAGCCGTACCGTAAGTGTCCACGTTTCAGCTCCGTATGTCATGACGGGTAGGACGCACTCATTAAAGACTTTCGTCTTAAGGCACTGTGGAATCGACGATGAGAAGACTCGACGTAGCTTCCCAAACGCTGCCCAACCCAACCGAATTCTTCTGTTCACCTCGTCCTCGAAGTTGTTTCTACCTAACTGCAATGTCTGCCCGAGGTACACATAATTTTGAACAACTTCGAGAACGGCACCGTGTACCGCAATCGGTTCCGGTAGTACATGTTCGTTGAACATGACCTTGGTTTTATCCAAGTTCATCCGTAGGCCGATGCGTACAGAAGTGTCAGCTAAGTCATTCAGCATTTGCTGTAGGTCCTGCAACGTCTCTGCCATGATGACGATGTCATCTGCAAATCGCAAGTGAGAGATGTATTCGCCATTGATATTGATGCCACGCCCTTTCCAGTGCAGCGTCTTGAACATGTCCTCCATTGCATTTGTGAACAATTTCGGGGAAATAACGTCCCCTTGTCTCACTCCTCGATGCAATGGTACGGGCCTTGTTTGCTGATTCTGTACTTGGACGGACATGGTGGCGGCTTCGTAGAGACATCTCATCACTTTGATGTATCGCCAATCTACTTGGCAACGCTGCAGGGACTCCAGAACAGACCAGATCTCGATCGAGTCAAAGGCTTTCTCATAGTCCACGAATGCTAGACACAGGGGCTGATTATATTCTTCGGTCTTCTGTATAATCTGCCGCACTGTGTGGATGTGGTCTATGGTGCCATATCCGCTCCGAAACCCAGCTTGCTCCGGTGGTTGGAATTCGTCGAGTCTTCGCGCAAGACGGTTCGTGATGACTCTCGAAAACAGCTTGTAGACGTGGCTTAGAAGGGATATGGGTCGATAGTTCTTCAACCTGGTCTTGTCACCCTTTTTGAAGAACAAGACGACCCCACTCCTACTCCACGCTTCTGGAGTTCTCCCTTCAAACAGGACAGCGTTGAAGAGCTTTTGGAGCTCCCTTAGTACGGGTTTACCCCCGGCCTTCAGCAGCTCTGTTGTAACGCCATCCTCTCCAGGGGCTTTTCCATTTTTCAGCTGTCCAAGAGCCATCTCGATTTCGTCAATGCTAACTTCTGGCAGGTCTTCGGTGTAGTGACGTGTTAATGTGGCTCTAGAGTCCTCATTTTCGGGATCAGGTCGAGATGCATGCGAAGCGTATAACCGGCCATAGAAGCTTTCCACTTCCAAAAGGACTGCCGGCTTCGAAGCAACGACTTCTCCACTTTCTGTAGTCAACTTTGTCAGGTGGCTTCTTCCAAGAGATTGTACGAACACTTTTGACCCCCGATTTTGCTCGATCGCTCTTTCAATTGAAAGAGTATTGGAGCACCGGAGGTCGTGTCGTACGAGTTTACTGATCTCTCGGTTTAGAGTCCGCTTTGCCGACAAAGTGACAGGTGGGTTTTCACGTCGTTTCTTCATCAGCCCTAGGGTCCTTTCTGAAAGCTTCGACTTCCTGCCCTTACGCTGCATTTCACAAAATCTCATACCTTCTTCCCTGAGGATCTGAACCACATTTTTGAGGTTCTGGTTTACGTCGATTGTGGTTTCCACGGCAGCGAATCGGTTTTCCAGTTTTGACTGGAACGTTTCAGATCCTGTCATGGCTTGGAGCCGAGTTGGTCGGAGCCTGGATTTCATCAAACAGACACGTTCCGCCTTAAAGTTGATATTCAGAGAGCCCCGGACAAGTCGGTGATCACTACCGGTATTAAACCTATTGATCACTGAGACGTCTCTGAATATGTGCTTTCTATCCGTCATGATGAAATCGATCTCATTTCTGGTCATAGCGTCGGGGCTTTGCCACGTCCACTTCCTTTGGGGCTGTTTCTTGAAGAAAGAATTCATCAAAAACAGCCCCTCCCGTTCGAGGAAGTTGACCAGCATTTGCCCCCTATGATTCCTGCTTCCAAATCCATGGGATCCTACTACCGATTCGCCGCAATTCTGTACTCCCACTTTAGCGTTGAAGTCACCCATAACAACGTTGTAGTGGGTCTTAGTTGTGAAGTGGAGGGCCCTCGATATGTCATCGTACATATCCTCCACCTCGTCGTCCGAATGTGCCGAGGTCGGTGCGTATACTTGCACAACCTTGAGGCTATACCTCTCGGTGAGCTTGATAATGAGGTACGCTACCCTGTTCGACACACTGGAAATTTCCACAACGTTGTCAGATAGGGACTTATTTACCAGAAACCCAACCCCACCTTGGGATTGTTGGTCTCCCTCGCGGAAGTACATTAGGTGGCCTGACTCGAGGGTTATGGTGTCCTCCCCCTCTCTTCGGACTTCACATAGCCCTAGGATATGCCACCTAATCTTCCCAAGTTCCACCTCAAGTTGCGCCAGATGCGAGTCTAGCCGTAGCGTGCGTCCGTTGTACGTAGCCAGGGTCAGTCGGTTGTGGTGGCCTCCCGTAGCCCGGAGATTCTTCGCACCCCCTGCCCCGCCTTTACCGAGGTCGCCACCATGACCAGGAATAGCGGGGCCGCCGGGAACTGGGGGCCGTGGCCTTTGTTGCGTCTGCATGGGAGGGGTTTGCCCATAATCGCCACGCTGGGCAGGCGGGTTGGCGATCGCAGGGCGTAGCTTGTCGCACCGGTAACGCTGCTGCCCGTCACCGGCCTGTTGTATTTAGCTACGCCTATTGGGATGGATATACCGCCATCGGTCGGTCGCCAGAGCCTCGTTCGTCGTTCAGCAGGATGCACCGCGGGCAGGTGAGGTTGGCTTGGGGCGAAAGATGGTGGTTCGCCCCTCGTATTTTTTGTAAATGTATCAAATTTGAGACTTATTTTTTAATAAGCCTATCTAGCATTCAAGATACACCATAGATATTACGATACCTTTGTCAGAGTCGCATCCACCATTAAGATTATGTTGATTTTCAATTTCGATTTCAATAAGTACTTCTGAGCGTTGCTCCTGAAAATAAAAAAGCAATTAAAATGAAAAAATAAAATAAAAATTAAAATGTAAAAAATATTTGTATTGGCATGACACAAAAATAAAATACCACCTTTCTGACGCATATACGAGTATATTCCATTTAGATAAGAAAGGAGAGACTTTGTTTGACAAGTAAGGCTAACATGAGAGAACAAGGACTAATGTCTACAAGATATGGTGCGATAAGATGGTTTTATGTTAAGACTCTGTATGTTACCTTAAGAATTGAAACAGATTGTGCATGAGTTAAGCCTGCCGTTGTCGACCCGTTAATACTTCTGACTTTCACACCTCTTTTCAGCCCCGCCTTAGCTGCTACGCTATCTGCTAAAACTCTATGAACCTGCAATTGTCAAATATTTTTATTCTGAAACCTTTACGACTATAAATTTGGATCTATTACCTAACATATTTTTTACTAACCGTGACATCTTTCGCTTCACAATCAATTCCACCGGCCAAAATGACTCCTACACCTGTACCAGCACCACGTACGAGCCTGATGGTTTGAGTCGCTGTTTTTACTTCCTTAACGGGACCTTTACTCGGTGTATCAGTCAGTATTACATTCTCGGTTTCGTTACTTGGTTCTAATATTTTTTCTCTATTTAGTTTTATAGTAGCTCTACCATCCACAATATCCTTTGTTTTATCATATTCATTAACATCAAATTTTCTATTTCTTTCTTGATTTTTAATCAACACACTGTCTGTTTTCTTGATCACAAAATCATTTTTCTCTGTTAAATTTAACGTCTTATTACTGTTATAGTTATCAAGACCAGCTTTTTGAATTTCTTTTATGATTTTGTCTGATATAATTTTAGGACCATCCTCAATTTTAGGAGTTTCTGCGGGAATATCAAAATGCTTTGTTTTACTTAATGAACTGGAATTTCGTTTTAGCCGAGTATTCTTGAAATCATTTTTCCTTTGCCAAACATTATCGTCACTATCGCTGTCTGAATCAGATTCGGCAATAATCTTATTTCGCCGTCTGTTTTCACCTTTATTCGACACAACACTCACCGATGGCGTGAGTGTAGAAAGGCGTTCAGACGTTTTGTGTACTGGACTCGGAGACCTGTCGCAGGACTCGTGCGAGAATTTAGTTTCAACAACGGGCGATTTGAGTTTAGCATCTCGACCACTCCTACACTTTGCAGATGCCAAAATATTGCGTCTATTTATCGTATCTATATTATACGACTTCGAAACTTTTCTCTTGTCTGAGTCAGCGACAGAACTTTCAAGAGAACTACAACTCGCTTGCGATCCAGAAGTAGCAGCCGAACCTGCCGATGAACTGAGAGATACATTTGTATCGGATGATACGGAGCGACAAATATTACGTTTAATATATTCCTCGGGGTTTTTGTCGGTTGGATTTGTTTTATTAATAATATCAGACTTAAATATAGAATATGCTGCATAGTGAGACGTTCGTGGTGACAGGCGTGAACTGTCAGATTCGACATTTTCTGTATTATGCATTGGAGAAGAAGCTGAAGATCGGTAACTAGACTGTGTTGAACTCATTGCAGAATCATTATCACTATCTACTACGTCTGTAGCTGTGCAAATTTTAATGTCAACGTTTTTATAGTCTCGGATGTAATTTAAGATACTGTGGTCTTTTCTAGATACATTTATTGTCTCCGTTGTCGTAGGCTTAGATGGACCTGTAGAGCTTGTTGTTGAAAACCTATTTATTGACCCATTACTTAATGAAGAATTGTGGCGTTTAATACTATTTGACTTATAAGTCATTTTGTTCAAAAGGTCTATTCTGTCATTATAATTAGGTTCTGGTGTAGATTCTTTTGAAAGTGATAGAGGCGTATAAACTTGAAGTGATTTACGTTTGAAAGCTGGAGAATATTTAGGCAAATTATTGGGAAGTAGATCGGTCTTCCACTTAGTATCATTTATATTTAATGGTTTAGAATTTTGTGAATTATTTGGTTTAATGACTTTAGTGTTAGTACTATTTTGATTTGACTTTAGTAAGAATGATTTGGAAAGAGGATCTTGAACTTTGATTGCTGGTAGATCCACAATTTTAGTCTGCACTTCAGGTATCACCAAGTCTCTTAATTTGGACATTGACTTTTTCCTTTGTTCAATTATATTCTCCAAGTTTGATATACGTGTCGATATGTTTTTATTTCCGTTGTCATCACTGACACTTCGAACGTGATATACATTTTTAGCAAACACCGGATCTGGAGTTGAGGGTAATGTTGTAGTACTTCCATAAAATAAAGGTTTACTATCTGCATATAGAGATGTATTGCTGCTTTTAGTTAAACTATATTTTGACGTAGGTAACGTCCGCTCAATGCTGCCTAAAACTTCCGGTCTTTCCGTGTGTCTTTTGTATGATCGAGGTAATTCATCTAGGTTATCCTGAGATTTTGTCAACCGTCTATCTAAAGAAGACGTGTCACTATAGTTATTAGTATATAAGGCGGAACTCTTTCTCACAGCCAAAGAATTCCTCGTTGGTAAAGTGCCACATTTATCCAGTCGATCTGAAGATGTTGCTAAGTCATTTGAAAACATTGCAATTTTATCTTTAACACTTGCCTCGCTTCGAGCATCTTGCTTTCTAGAGGCATAGGAAAATCGTGGCCGCGAACCTGGCCAACCGGCAGGCAGACGAGGTGGCATCCGGGATACTGATTCAGGTGTTTTTTCTACAGCGTCACAAGGAGTCTCTACTCCGTCAGGTGGCTGTCGGGGACAAGACGGCAGGGGTGTTTCGTCATTAGATAGACTTTTATCTTCAGCATCGCTCTTGTTGACACGATCTGAAAATTAAAACGCTTTGTTGAATTCCTTTTTAGGAAAGATAAATGAATAACCTCAGACATGTCACATACGGCTGTCTGATCCAGACTGCTGATAAACATGTATATATATATATATATTTAAATACACACATATTATAGGTAAATTACACCTAGACACAGAACAAATGATCATACTCATGATATAATTATTTGTCCTGGGTGGGAATCGAACCCATGACCTCTGGCTCAGCAGTCAGGATCACTAACCACTAGGCCAAGAGGCCCATCGAAGATCCATTGAAAACGTAACAAATCAATGACATCATTTAATGCTCATTCTAAAATAACATCGCTTCTTGTAGGCATCACAGTTTTCCCTGATATTATGAGCACGCAAACTCGTCTGAGCGATTTCGGTGGATAAAGTTAATCCGATTCTATTGAAAGATATACATAGTCAACAAAGAAAGTTTAAAAAAAATATGCATCTAAGTTAGATTACCTTTCGTTACATTCAGTGCAAAAAAAAAAATTGTTAATGTGTCTATATTTATATAGTTATAGTACCTAACACTATGGTGAACGTTAATTTATGAAACTTATAACTGTATCGTATAAAGCGGTCCGATAATATTATTAACCATTATAGAATATACCTGTCAGTAAAGTCAGCATCTTGTATTCATGTGAATACACTAAATATTTTAAACCAGGTCAACTCTCGCCGCCAATATACCGAATACTCGGTTGTAATATTTGAATTGATGCACATTTAATGAATATTAAAGCAAATGAAACGTTCTTTCACGTTATAAATTACTATTCAAATGGCAATTATCGGATGATAAAGTTAGGAAAATCAGTTCTCATTATGAATCACAGAGTCTTATTACAGTTGACCAATGCAGTATTAGCTAAGATGGTGCGTCATCGTATCTATTCTTTCGTAAGTGATACATAGACACAAAAGTCAATGCAATATATTTAAATATACAATAGGAAACTTAAAACATATGTCAACATAAAAATAGTCAGTGTTTTACTTAGTTGCTATTTATGAATAAGTTCAATCTCCACCAATGTTTTTCCTATTACCTACGTCATATCCGTTTAGCTTTATAGAATATCGGCCATTTTTATCGGGCACTAACATCAGGTGTACAAACTAATTTGTAAATTTGAATACCGGTCGTCGTTCTAAAGGAAAAACGAATTTGTCGTAAATTTAAAATATAATATAAATTAAACACGTATCACGTATATTTAAAAAAAAATCAAATAAGTTTTTACCAAACGTGGCTTTTTTAGAAAATACATACCTGAACGGAATACATTTACGTAAACTGGATTAGCAAACTAATCGAACCAAACTCCACTCATTACTGCTAAAGAGAATCTGTTTGAGTAAGGTTCAGGTGTATATTCTGTTAGTTCAGTGACGCGGCCTTGGGGTGACAAGTAAAGCTGCCTGTCATCCTAACAGAAGCAGGTATTTCCGTCGTCCTCGTGTGTACTTAGCACCGTATTTTTAGTTCCTGCAAGTCGCACTAACCATTTAAACCGAGGGTCTTGGCAAGCAAACGCCCTGAAGCGTCGATTACACTCGACAAAAAAATAAAAACAATCTACAACGCTCAAGTTTCATTTAAAAAAAAATAGAAGGCTAAAACTACCGGTAACAGCTTAATATGAGGATAGTTTGTAACCTTAACAGTACAATAAATATTTACTTTATACGTTTGCGATTATTCCCACAAGTGCAAATACAATTAATAATATACACTAAATACCTTCTTTTTCTTCTTCAATACGGTGTAGACAACGAGAATGATAAATTTTTACAACACGGTATGTTATCGTATCTAAAACTATTACATTCTGAGTGTTCATTGCGCCGGTCCAACCAATAAAACTTTTAACATTTGCAAAAACCACTTCTCTAGGTTAATCATAAAACATTCTTGAACTGACCCCCGATCAAGTCACAAAGTCTCAGTTTAACACTTAGGTATAAAACAAAAATCTAGAATGTGCATACGTAGAAAAATACACGGTTTAACTGACGATCGAACAATAAGTTTTGCTACTAGTAAAATTAATACGAGTATGTACACATATTTTGCAAAGACGGCACGCTTCCATGTATTTAAACAACTGGCACTGAAAAATTCAGTCTTAGAATGGACAACCTTCATAGAATGTTTTTATTAATTTGATGACGTCATAAATTGGAACAAAGAGATTGAAATAATTTATACAGTTGCGTAAACTTACGTCGTGATCAACGTGTAAGCAGTTAAAACTGTAATATCTTTAAACTATGTTCACGTGTTTAAAATGCTAACGTGTATGTATGAATATTCATAAGGTTAAAAATAATATCATAATATAACTGCATTATGTGTATTCAATTTAAGTAAAATCCGCTTTAGTTTGCAAAAATCTGCACAGTTTATGTACCCATTGTAATTTACATATTTGCGATACAAGTTTATACTTACATGATACTTATTTTATTTTGTACTAGGTGCGATGATATTGTTATTTCAATATCGATTTAAACCAGGAAATAAATTTTATAACTTTTAATATTTCCTGAAACTTCTTAGCACTATATAATAATCTAATTATAATGAGCCAAGTTTCCAAATGACATACCTCACGTCTACGTCCCCGTAGGACTACATAGAAGATCATTGAAGGACTAAGTTTTGACGGCTTTAACTTTAATTAAACTTATGCGATTACGCCAACAACAAACCTATTTTTGTAAACCGGGAATTTTAGGAATTAGATAGGATAAAAAGATCGGTAAGACGGGAAGCCTACGGTAAGGAGGGATTGAGTATTGGCAAGTTGGTCAAGGTCGCATATCTCTAATTCGAACTGCCTGTTATAATAATGTGCAGGATAATCCAAGCTTTTAAAAGTGATGACTAATTATGAAAGTGTTTGCTACTTCTATAATTAATGTTCGACAATTAAATCCCACATCAATGAACATATTAACGATAGGGAACCGATAAGATTAATGAAAGTGTATGGATTTAGAGCCTCTCTACTGAGGAAACACTACGATCTAACAAAAAAAGGAGATTTAATAAAACTAATAGTATTACTTGTGCATACGTTTCAGGATTAGATTAGCAATTGTTGATTTCGTTAGAGAGTATGGGTCCGAAAATCGTGATTGATTTTGATGATCACATCATTCAAGACATTACCATCGTCGTGATAGGTGATATATTCTCTTTTACGTAATGTTGAGTAAATTAAAAGTTTTCTTTTCGGAGATTTTTTTCTTATTTCATTAGTAGTGGTTTTGGTTTTCGAATTCTCGAAAAACATACTTAACTGGAACTTAAGAAATTATTTTGCCGAAAAGACAAAAGACACTATAGTCCTCAGAGATTATTCTGCAAACACAAAATCTTTTAGGTGTAATATATTACGTAAGATATTCTAGACATCCCTTGCAAAGTATGTATCGCATTCTTGTGGGACCTGAATAGGTTGATCGGTAATAGTCGAAATCAGATGTTACATCACGTGAACGGCCAATGTTACTCAAGTATATTGATGTGTATTTTTTTTAACAACTATGTTTGTCGTATTCTGATACTTAGACTATACATTGAGAAACACATATGAAAAGTGACTGCTCACTGTAAAAGGAGGATTTTAATTATTGATCTAACTACGAAAAAATAGTTTATTTACCAAACACGTAAGGCAGACGTAGGTATATTTTTTCATTAAATATGCTTAGGTGTGAGGTAAAGTTAGTCTTGCCTCAAAATGGAAGTTGTTCTACATTTCATACGTAGGTGTTTAACTAATACACTGAATGTAGTAAATGTAGGCTCTAAATGTAAGGTCAACTAGAATACAAACATTTAGAGTTCTTTGTTGTCTCTTGAAACAGACAAAAGTTACTGTATACTTAGTTAGTTACCTCCCACTGAAATCGGTATACATGAAAAATAATATTATTAATAAAGCGTTGAATGAAGTCTATGTATACATGAAACCTCAGAAGGCAGCCTGAAGACGGTGACCGCTGGGTCAATGCAACATAAGTACACATGCGTACACATATGTGTAGGCGACCAAGTTCTGCTCCAAGCTTAGCGATTCATTTCAACTTAGAATAAATGTTTTCGTCTTTAAAATCACTGATACAGTACTACTGAACTATTCATAACACCTTTCTTCAATAAACTAAAAATTTCTGTGAAGATTTAATTCCTTTATACTAACCATGTAGTGATATCGAGCGTCTCGGCAATTTCCTGGTCTCCAACATTGTAAAAAAAATAAACTGCCACTTCCAAGGTGATCGTCATTTGAACCAATTCATAACACTACACTTTCATTCGTCAAACCAGTTTTCGAATCTTGTTCATTCTGAAAATTTACTTTCATTGTGCACTAAGAAAAAAAACTTAAATTGCCGTAAACAAGACCCCTATCCACTTATTGGGCAACGGAACTGTGTTACGGATCTCAACAAACCCGAAGAAAGAGGATCGAGTTAAGAATGCGGAAAGTGTCCATTAACGACCGAAATAACAGTTATTTTACATAGGGCGGTGCGTGCAGCAGCGTGCGCCCACGGCGGTGTGCGAGTGGCGAGCGGCGAGCGCGGAGCCGCCGCGACATGGCGCGATGCACTGAGTCGCGTTGGACTTGCAGAAATTTGCAGCGTCGCCGCCCTTGACGGGGGCGTTGCTCCTAGCCAGGGACGGACAGCGTGCTGCGCACGCGACGCTCCCCCGCGGCCCACCGCATACCCGTCATCCAACACACAGACCCATCATCATTTCCACAAAACTATCATTATGAACAACCGCCTCCACCTTACTAACACCGTGACCTACACACGCCAAATAAACAGATTTGAATGCCACAACCAAAGACAAACACGCTGCTCGTGCTGTAACTCTAGTGTTATAACTTGATCTTAATAAACAATATACATTGATCGATATCGTAAGCTATTTTTAGTCAGTAGGCAG